TCGGGGCGTAGGAAATTTGGGAACTTGCGGATTCGGGGCCTAGGGAATTAGAAAACTTAGGAATTCGGGGGCTAAGGAATTTGGGAACTTCGGGATTTAGGGGCTACGGAATTTGGAAACTTGAAGATTCGGAGCCTAGGAAATTTGGAAACTTGGGGATTCTGGAACTAAGGAATTTGGGAATTTGGAGATTCATTATATTTTTCTAATTTTTGTTTTTAAGTTTGTATCAGAAAAGGTTGATCTTGTCTAATAAATCAGCTTCCAGGTGATACTGTAATTAATATACAGTATTGTCAAAAATTATGCTTACTTACATTCTAACGTAATTGTCCTATTTTCTATATTGTTATAGAACTATATCTAAAATAATTAAATTGCCATGTTGCTTTATACAAATAAAAATGAAGTTACTATATTGCTATATGCAAATCAAGAATTAAATTGCTACGTTGCTACACTTAAATCAAATTAAATTACTATGTTGCTATACATATAAATTGCTACATCACTACATCGTAAATTTGATATCAAGCGGTATTTTAATCTGTTATAAACATCAAACAACCACTGTTACAAGGATAAAAAAGTTATGTAGAACGAAGTTAATTATAGGTTAGCTGCAGTAATATTACACTCAATATATTACACTATACTTTCGCTTTTCGCAATCATTGATATGGGAGAGTTTCGCCTGTTTCAATTAGTATGTATATCTATCAAATTGTAATTTGAGAATTTTTGTGTTTCGAAATTTCGGTAACTTTTGAATTATTATAGCAGACTTGTTTATAGAAGCATAATAAGATAGTTTTGTAATGAAATAGTGGAATAGTAACACAATTATGTGACACAATAGGGAAATAAAAACATAATTATGTAACACAATAATATACTGAATGATAAAATAATAAAATAGTGGGACAAAGTAGGACCATAGTACGATAATAGTATTAAATAGTAATACGATTTTGTAGAATAGTAAAATAGAAACATAATTATGTAATACAATAGTATACTAAATGATAAAATAATAAAATAGTAGGACAAAGTAGGACCATAGTACGATAATAGTATTAAATAGTACTACGAGTTTGTAGAATAGTAAAATAGAAACATAATTATGTAACACAATAGTATACTAAATGATAAAATAATAAAATAGTAGGACAATAGTAGGATAATAGTAGGAAATTGTAATACAATTATGTAGAATAGTGAAATAGACACATAATTATGTAGTATAATAATATACTAAATGATAAAATAATAAAATAGTTGGACAAAGTGTTATAGCAGTGTGATTTTGTATAACCAGTAAAAAAACAATATTATTATATATACATACATTACAGCATTATTATGTATACACAGTTTATGTATAATTATAAAATACTAATATAGTTTACTATAAGTACCTTTCACTTACCAATGAAATAATAACATTACACATTTACACTTATACGTTATTTATTTTACTTACGTCAATTTCCACATTTGCAGTATCATACAACATAGTATATTATTATCTAACATAGTAGGTGAATAACAAGTCTATACAATAGCGATACAATAAAAAAAACTAAAGTAGTATAAAACTATAGCTACATACGTGGTACTATTCAACATCTAATCTCACACATCAAGATCCCTAAAATGATATACTAATAGAACAAGTGTTTTCAGAAAACTATTTCATTTTCTATTAACTAATTAGTAGATAAGTAAAATCAGATTAATTCATAGTAAAATAAATCCTATTAACATGTACAAGATTTCTTTTTTTAACACATAGAAGTGTTGATAGAACACTTCATCTATAAATAAGTAAAATTGTTTCTTCTATAAATAAAATTGTATTATAATGCCTGTTAATATACATACTTCTACTAATAGAATTAACATGTTTCCATTAACAGACTTAATGTACTTCTATCAACAGAATTAATATACCTCTATTAATACAATTAAAAAAATTGATAATGTATACAAAAATTATAAAAATACAAGTCTAGTATTATACCATAATACCATATAGTATGCCACACAAAATGCAATCTCCCAGGAACCAGACCATACCTTCATCCCCAACGCCCATGCACTCTTATCTCAATGTCCTAATCCCCAAGGGATGTTTCAAATAATTGAAAAAATTAATCACGCTAGATTATCATCGATATTACATCACGCAGTCGATAAGATGTCGCGAACCTATCGCGTAAACTTCTTTCCACGTTTATCGAACATTCGATAACGACGATAAGCTCGGTCTCTAAAACCGAGCTTAGTCTCTCGTTGCGTCGTCTACGGTCCTCTTCATCGATCTCGTTCGCAATCGTTTTCTCTCGTTCTCTTTCCAACATGGAGATCCGCGGGATGAAAAAGTGGGACGTCATCGAGGAGTTCTCCAACGACTTCTCGCAGTTCGCCAAGAAAGTGAGTAATGTCATTTTTGACCCTGTCCGCCCACGTTTTATATAAGCTACTTGGTTGCAACAAATCGGTTATCATTGTCAGGGTCATCAGAAAAACTCGCAATGGAAAATATTGGAAAAACGTTGCCGATTTGAAACATAAAATGGAACTTTTGTGAAAACTATACTTTACAAAAATAGTTTTCCGTGTAATTGTGTGACTCACTTTATCGATCGCGTCAGTCTGACTTTATCAATTCGTCAGATTAGAGGTTTACCTCCTTTTAAGGATATTTAAAGAGCCCGTACTTCTTGTCACAACTGGGAACCGGGGTTTTAATCGAATAACTATTCATCGAAAAATGCTCGAAAAATAATCGGCTTTTGTCTTCAATTAAAAAATCTATCACAATTTTATACTTATGAGTCATCTCGAAAAAACTGCACAGGGAATTTCGAAATTTAAAAATCACGAAAACTGCAAGTATCGCAAAGATAAAAAAGATAGGTAATCTTCCATTAACTTGTTTCTGCTTTGAAAAGATAACAAACGAAACATCAAACCATCCATTTACAGTGCCACATTAATTTTCCCACGAAAATCGAGCGATAAGAAAGCTGGAAAAGCCTCATCGAGCATGGCGGTTCGAAAAAGTAAAAAAAGAACGTTTGACATATTCTCTTCAGCACGCGGCGCTTAATCGCGATTGTGTGCCGCGCGTGTGAATGGAAGGAAGCTTTTATCGCGAACGACACGCGTTTCTTTCAGCGAACGATATCTAGGTTGTCTGCACTAAAAGTCAGCCGCTTTTCAAGAATGCAGTCGCGATCGTAGCCGCGGCAATTTTCCACGGCGAACAATAGCGTCGGTCGGAGCTAGTGTGTGTGCTCCAGAGACTTCTCGGAAAATAGCATCAGGGTTAATCGACGGTTCTTTATGCTGGTTCTATGAAAACCGTGTTATGACTAATTAGCATCTTTTTTCTTGCCATTGAAACGGTTTAACCGGTGGCGTAAGTGGAATTGACTGGGCCGAAAATACTTCTTTCATTTCTGATAATTTGGGTTCAATATAAGCTGCAAGAGTAGTCACTGTGATTTATGATGTATGCGAAGTTATGTCAATTTTTAGAACCGTCAAAATCTGAAAATTAATCAAAGTTTGAGATCTATGTAAGCTTCTATGACTTTAGAATTTCACATTCTAAATGCAAAAAAATTGCAAGTTTTCATGATAGCAGAATGTCAACATTGCAAATCCTTATTGCAATGTTAGGAAGTTGTAATTTACCCATATTCCACATACACAGTATATTAGCAAAATAACAGAGCTTTTCAAATTTAAGGAAAACGCGCCATTTATTAAAACAGTATATCTTCCCTACAAAACAGTATATCAGTATACCTTCCCTACAAAACACAACAATCATTAGAATTGAGCAATGAATAAACTTACAGCGTTCAATGCGACAGAACCTTTCGTCACCGTGTCACAAAATCACGGGCAAGCAACATATTGCTTACGTTGAATATTGCGAGGATCTTATCAAAACACCCAGACGAAACTGTACATTCCTGGAATCAATTGTAACTAGTGATGAGACTTGGTGCTTCAAGTATGAACCTCAAACAAAGCGCCAAAGTGCTACGTGGAAATCCAGGCTCTCCAAAATCAAAAAATTGCGATTCCAGAAGTCCTGAGAGAAGACAATGTTAATTTGCTTTTACGATTCTAAAGGAATTATACTTCGGGAATTTGTTCCACCGAGACAAAATGTTAATGGCGAATAATATCTGGGTGTTATGGAACATTTGTGGAAGAGGATCGTTCGTGTGAGGCCCGAATATCGAGCGCCGGGAAGTTGGTTTCTGTTGCATGATAACGCACCATGTCACAGAACTGTCGTTCGTGAATTTTTGGCGAAAAAACAAGTCTGTGTGCTTCAATATCCTCCAAATTCGCTTGACTTATCTCCGTGTGATTATTTCCTTTTTCCAAAACTGAAATTAGGTATAAAAGGAACGTTTTGTGACACTGTTACACAAGTCCGAGCAGCTGTGACAAGGGTGTTTGATGCGATTCCGCAAAACGACATGAAAAAATCTATGTTAACGTTGTATGAACGTTCAGTGGTGTATTGATGCGGAAGGGATGTATTTTGAATACAAAAAGTAATTTTGGCAAAATAACTAATTCTTTTCTTTTTATATAAAAAGTTCCGTTATTTTTTTAACATACTGTGTACTCCATATATCAGTTGTAAAATCGAAAAATTGCAAACTCCAAATATAGCAAAATCCAGAAATTGTAGTCTACCAAGACCCCTAAACCACAAGCTCAACACTGCAAAACCCTGAAATTACCGATCGAACTTCCCGACACCGCAAATCCCAAATCGCAAGCTTCCTTCCGTCTCTCATAAGCTGTCTCCTAAATCTCAAAATCCAACAGTCTTCAAATCTCTTGAGCTTTTGTATTACAATCCCAAACCCTGAATAGCCCCACCTTGTAGCCCTAAATCCTCTCTCCGAATCTCTTTCCAACGCAAGAAACTTTGAATCTAAAGAAAAGCTTGTTTCTGTTAGATCGACGAAAATGGAGACGGCTTCATCAACCTCACAGAGCTACGCAGCGCCCTGGATATTTGTGGCTTCAAGATGCCCGGATACAAGGTGCGTCAGATGATCGAGGAATACGACGATAAGCAGAGATCAGAACACAAGGGACGACTTTCGTTCGAGGAGTTCGAGAAGCTGTGCAAAGAGTTGAAGGCCAACGAACTGGGATCCACGTTCAAACAAGTCGTCTCGAAGAAAGAGAATCTGGAGACCCTAGGGGGCATCTCCGAAGCCTCCAGCGAGGGAACCACCCACTCGGTCAGATTAGAGGAACAACTTGCGTTCAGTGACTGGATCAACACCAATCTGTCACACGATCCTGATTTGAAACACCTGCTGCCTATCGATGCTGAAGGGAAGATGCTGTACGAGAAGGTCAAGGACGGGATTCTTCTTTGGTACGTATAGGTGCTTGGTGAGGGGGATATGTGGAGGTTACTGGTGATTGGATTGTTGGAATTTACTTGATGTGGAGATTAAAGTATTTGATAGTTGCAAAGTAGTAAATTTTTATTATGTATGTAAATTTTAATTTTCAAGTCTCAAATTGTCTATATTTCAAAAATCACTTAGTTGTACTATGTCTACATAGGTGGTATTATCTCTACAATTAAAGCTAGGGTTAGCTGATCTATCCCAAACGAAAATTCTAATCACTAATGCGATATTAATCCTACGATAACGTAATCTAATCTTCTATATGCTCAAATACAAATTAATAGTTCGAATAAAAAATCAACCACTATCAGATTACTTACTGCAAAAGTCACTAGTGATCATCACAAATCAAATCGTCAGAAATTAACAGCAACTTCGGTATTTCAGCAAAATAATCAACCACTCCTGCCCCGACACGATCGACGAGCGCACGATCAACAAGAAGAACCTAACCTTGTACAAGAAGCACGAAAACCTGACTCTAGCTCTATCATCGGCGCAAGCGATCGGTTGCAACATCGTCAACATCGACGCGCACGATCTGACGAAAGGATCCCCTCACTTGGTGCTGGGTCTCCTCTGGCAGATCATCAGGATCGGTCTATTCAATCAGATCACCCTGGAGAACTGTCCTGGCTTGGCCACTCTTCTCCAAGACGGCGAACGCATAGAAGACCTGCTGAAATTGTCTCCGGAATCCATTCTGCTCAGATGGGTGAATCATCATTTGGAGAACGCCGGAATCGCCAGAAGGTGCAGCAACTTCCACTCGGACATCACCGACTCCGAAATCTACACGTACCTCATCAAACAGATCGCTCCGCACACTGCCGGAGTGACCTTGGAGGCCCTAATGGAGCCTAACCACACCTCGCGAGCGGAGATCATGCTGCAGCAAGCTGCCAAACTGGGTTGTCGCAGCTTCGTAACACCAAGCGACGTTGTTAACGGTATCTACAAGCTGAATCTGGCCTTCGTTGCGAACATGTTCAATAATTACCCAGGTCTGGATAAGCCCGAGAGCAACATAGAGGGTCTGGAGTCCCTAGAAGAGACCCGGGAAGAGAAAACCTATCGTAACTGGATGAACTCCATGGGTGTGGCGCCCTACGTCAATTGGTTGTACTCCGATCTAGCTGACGGTTTAGTCATCTTCCAACTTTACGACATCATCAAGCCGGGAACCGTGAACTGGAACAGGGTGCACAAAAAGTTCAGCAAGCTACGGAAGTTCATGGAGAAGCTGGAGAACTGTAATTACGCGGTGGAACTTGGGAAGACGATGAACTTCTCGCTGGTGGGAATCGCAGGACAGGATATCAACGATGGAAACGCTACGTTGACCTTGGCACTGATATGGCAGCTGATGAGATCGTACACGCTGTCGATACTGACGTCGCTCGCTGGAACACAAGGCAGCACCTTGGTGGAAAAGGAGATCGTGCAATGGGTCAATTCGAAGCTGCAGGGCGCTGGCAAGACTAGTAGCATCAAAGGCTTTCAGGATTCCTCGATAAGCGACGGGAAGGTGGTGATCGATCTGATCGACGCTATTAAACCGGGCTCTGTGAATTATGACCTTGTCAAGGAAGGAGGAACCGAAGAGGTGATTATTTGTTTGGTTGTTTTAAATTGGTTCAGGGATTCTTAATGAATGCAGCATTTTAAGTAAGGATGCTCTACATGAAAGATCTTATTTAATATTGAGGCTCAATGAGTTAGAAGCTTTGAACAAATCAGCATCCTCGATTGGACGATTCTCTATTCTTTGATTCATACTCCGTGTCTTGTAGATCCTTATCCTCTATAAATCAAGTATTATCTGTAAATCAAGATTCCTCTGTGAATCAAGAATCCTCCATAATTCAAGAATCCTCTGCAAATCAAGAATCCTCTTTAAATCAAGAATCCTCCATAAATCTAAGAATCCTTAACAAGCGAAGAATCCTGCGTGAATCAGTAATCCTCCAAGAATCGTCAAAGAGCGGTAAAAATCGAAAGTTCAGCAAACGATAATGAGTTTTGCACGTAAAGGATGGTGTACCAGCGTGACTAATTGTAGATTGTTTTCTGTTTTCCCGTGGCAGGCGAACCTGGACAACGCGAAATACGCGATATCCTTGGCCCGAAAATGTGGCGCGCGCGTTTACGCGCTACCGGAGGACATAACCGAGGTGAAACCGAAGATGGTGATGACGGTGTTCGCTTGTCTGATGGCGATGGACTACATCCCCAATATGGACTCCGTGAAGCAGCAGAACAACGTGAACAACAGTCAATAATGTCGCGCCATCATCTGCGTTCACATTGTGCACGAGAACTGTCGAATGAGTTGCGGTTTCTTACCGTCTCTCTTTCAACGACCTAACAATTGTATATACAGCTAGCTTTAGGATTAGCCTGTTCGTTTACAGAACGAAACTAGAGAACGAGAAGAAACGGAGAATCTTTCAGCGAAACGGATCATGACTGACTCTTAATTATTCTTCCGCGTTGCCCGCTTTGGTAGACGTATTAATACGTTCGAGATGTAGCTTCATTATTGTATTGTCTCTCTAAGTGGTTTGGTTCGTTCGATCACTGCGTTTCTGTATTTTTAAGTAAATAGATTTTTGTCTTCCTAGATAAATTTCGATTTCTGTAAATTTTTACATTTTTTTATTGGCAAGTTTAATCTTTTCGGTAGGTTTCTGCTAAATTAGTAAATTGGTCAAATTTTAGATTCGTAGGATTTGTGCTTTTTGGCAGATTTTGATGAACAGATTAGTTCTTTAAGAAAATTTGTATTTGTTAAATTGGCAAACTTTGCTAATTAGCAGAATTGTACCCTGTAGGAATATTTCTGCTCCACGTGCCAAATTTCTACTCTTTTAATTTGTAAAGTTTTTATTTCCCAAGTGGAAAATTCACATTTTACTAATTAATCTAATGCAAAAGTTGAGTTATAATTAATAAATTTGAATCAAACTTACATAACAAAATTTTGGGTCATTTAAAAATAATTATAAATAAAAAATGTAATAATAACTGTTGTTTTTGTTTATTTGGTTTAGTCAAAAAGTTGATCGACTTCAATATATTCTTTCAATTGATCAACGAACATCTTAAATATTCGCCTTTATGTCTTTCACCGTCATGTTGGTTAACAATGATTCTGTCACGTTAAAATAATAAAGAAAAAGAATTAAAGTAGTTATAAATTATATCACCAATGTAAAACAGCAAACTGATAAATCGTAGTCAAGGATTAATTTAATCCTGTGTCTTACCAGATACGATTGCATTTACTGTATCGGTTATCGTGATAAGAGGTAAACTATTGTTTCGTCCCACTTAGAGAGGTAATACAGTTATTGCACAGAAAAGTGAAAATTAGAAGAATACCCCGCGTTAGACGTTGCTAGCGAGTTTCGAAGCGAGAGTCACGGGAAAGGAAGTAGAAATCGATTGTAACGATCAGACAGAGCGTGTCTGTTGCAATTCGCTCTTCTTGTCGATCGTTTGTTGTATTCAGGGCCGTCCAGAGACGCCACTGGGCCCCGTAAAAAAATGTACACGGGTCAAAGTAAAAAGAAATTGGGCCCCGAAAACCTCTCGACGGCCCTGGTTGTATCGTGTGATACGGTATTTTCCTTCCACGAACTTTCAATCATATCTTCGTCACATTCTGCATAATCCGTGAGCATAGATTTTGTATAAACCGATTTTTTAACGATGTATGTCGAAGATCACGAAATGACGTTAAAAAATATTGTATCGGATCTGTTGTATATCGGATTTACTGGTTTCTACCAATAAGAAATTAAGAAATTAATCGCGTATACAGGATATACGCGGCTCGCATTGTCGATTATATATGTATACAGTATGTACTAGATTAACATTCTTCAATCACGTATTATATATGCAATTCGAAATATGTATACGTATTTGATACATACCGTAAGCGTGAAATTGTCATAATTTTACAATGGCAACGTCTCTTGTCAATCAATCGATCAATTAATCAATTCCACCGAGAGAGATCTATATTGTATGCGAATAGCAATTTTTGATAATGTATCGAGAGATCGCTTTGAAGCGGAGCTTCTGGAGTGAGAATTGTTTGAACGTTCGATTTTAACCTGTTAATTGAGATATTTGATCGGGTGTTTCCTTGCAGAATTTTTGCCGTTAGTTGAAAAATTTCAACACTTAGATGCTGAATTTTTATGATTCTCAATTAACAGGTTAAATCTCTACGAATATTTTACAGTCACTCGTGTCATTTGAAATACACATGCACATTTTAACTTCCTCAAAATCTGCAACAATTTCATTACAAGTAGGAATTGTTATAAATTCCAAAACACTATAATTTGCAATCTGATTTTTCTTGTACGGTCAAATCAATTTAATGTACAAGTTTTAATAGCTGAATATTATAGTTTCAAAATCAGTAAATTGTTGATTTTAAAAATCAGTCATTCAGTTGATTTTAAAAATCAATATCATTTGACTCCAAAAGTCATTCAGTTGATTTTAAAAATCAATATCATTTGTCTCCAAAAGTCATTCAATTGTTTCCAAAAATTATTAGATTGATTTTAAAAAGCAGTGTCGATTGAACTGATTTTAGAAATCATTGTCATCGAATTGATTTTAAAAATCAATGCCAGAGGGTTAAAAGAGAATAATTAGATTTTGTAAACAATCTAAGATCCGTCAAACTTTTCTACCAGTTTTTAATATTTTTTAGCTGAAAGAAAGAAAATGACAAACAATTCTATGTACCGTCGATACGCAACAAACGCACAAGGATCATTGTAATCGTGCCATTATAAATCATTGATCGGATGCTTTTGCGATATTTAACGATCGAAACGGACCGTACTTACATATTTAATGCTGGTGAACGAACGTGTTGCGAAATATTGTTTAACAAGAATTTTGCGAAAGGAGATAACGTTGGTTCCTCTCTCAATCGTACGCGTTTGCGGCGCGTGGTTGATATTAACGCGTATAACCGAAAAGGAAAATTGTTTCGAAAGTGAATGTTGAAAGTGCAATCCATCGATACTTTAAGTACTAGGGAGAAGAGGACACGAAAAGCATTTCATAAATTAGGAATTTGAAGATAGTTAAAATTGAGATTAGTCAAATTTTTAATTTGTGATGTTTAAATTGAAATATTGTAAAGCACGTCGGTACTGTTAATCATTCCATGGAACGATGAACGTATACTAAGTTGCATTTTCATGTTTATACAAAAAGTCACATTCCGTGTCCAGAGAATCAAATTCTGAAGATACACTCTAGAAGATATAGCGTGGTCCTAAATTAAACTTTGTCTAAAAATCCCTCCAAGGGATAAGAACAAAAAATAATTCCAAAAACTTGCTTTAATTTACGACTGCGCTATAAATTTTGGAGTTAAAGCGTCGGTTTTGTACCAATTGGTCCCGAGTATCGAGACGTAAAAATTAAAGGGCCGTTTGCAATTTTGCGCACCTAGATTTAAGGTTTAGTCAGAGAACATGCTTTGTTTTGTAAAGCAGAGAAAATTGTTGGATAAACGCGTGAGGAAGGTTATCTATTATTGCTAAGGATACGATTCTTTAATTCCATTTTTTTAATCGATTCGTCAATTTAAAAAAACAGAGAAATTGAAATGCGTTCAGATACACAGGTGAATTCTGTGCGTACATGAACGTGTGTGTACGTCACCGTAGATATAATTTAATGTAACCGTAATTTAAATAAAAAGAAATTTATCTACGAAGTCTCGTCTTTTTACTTGTAAGGATAACACACCGATACAATTAAAAATTATAATAGTTTAGTTTATTGTACTGTCAATGGTTTATAGTCCAAAGTTACATTTTAATCTACTGCTCTATCATCCCTATAGTTCCATCAGTTCTCTTCGCTTCTTGTTTGTTTCACGGTTCAAATTACCGTTTAGTATCTCGGTTAATTAACCGGAAAGACATCGTCTACGTCGGAATTTGCGACGATGGTGGTTTTCGACGCATCGTACATTTCTGTAAGTTCTCGTTTGGCGGCTCGGATGTCCCTCAAGCCTAGACTTATGTACTGCGATATTGCCATTAGGTTGTTCATTTTGTCGGATCCCACGGTGCCCATTCTTGTCAGCGACGAGACAAATTGGTAATCGCTCACGTAGATTCGGCTGACTGAACTTTCCTGTAAAATAAATAGCACGATTCATTAAAATATCCAATTATCCAATTACTATGAGTAAAATTTGATTCATTAAGTTTTGGGAGAGTTAGGAGAGTGTAAACGAATGGACAGAAAGAAAGATTTGTTAATAAAATAGTATTGTAGTATTAGTATTTCTAAATTTCTAAATTTCTAAATTTCTGAATTTCTGAATTTCTGAATTTCTGAATTTCAAAACTTGAGATAAATAGTAAAGTTAAGATTCAAAAAGGCCTTTCACCAGGTGCGACTGAAGATCAGACTCCACCACAACACTATTCCCATAAGATCCAAAGTAGAAGGACGCATAAGAAGTGCAGTTATTCAAATTGGTCTTCTTATGAATGATAATAGCCTCGCTAGGGACTTTATTCAACTGCGGCAAGGACTCCAATTCATATCGAGGACTCTTCATCTTGTTCATCATCCTCTTAGAAGGATAATGATTGACTCCCACAGTGACGCTACATTGTCCCACCGTTGAGTTCTCCAAAATATCAAATGATCCATCCGGTATCCCATTCAGGTCGACTCCAATATTCAAACGTTCGGCGATCAGTTTGATGTCATTCAGATTCTTCACCGGAATCTGATCGTTGACCAACAGATAATCGATACCGTACTCGTTGAACTTAATCTCGAAGGGTTCCTCGCTGCAGAGTTGCTTCAGTTCCTCCTCTGGGATTTCGAGTTTGTTGTCGTTGGTCACGTCCACGCTTAAGCGTTTAGGGTTCCCGAGATGGCAATTCAATCTGTCGACTGCTTTTGGTCTGCAGTAGAGGTCCATCACGGTGTAGTTGGACCGTTGCACACCGTCGAAGTTCATGGGGGTTGATGTGATGTTCATTTCGACGTTGAACACGTATTCGGGGCCGTGCTTCCAGGCGCTCTCGTCGATGCCCATACGGGCGACTGCAAATGAATTAATAACTCAATTTTCAGGGTTTGAAATTCATCGAACAATTAGATATTCATTTTCTGAGTAGTAGTAATAGAAATTAGGGCAGTCACTTAGGTAGATTTTAGGAAGCTTTTATGGAACTGGGATTAGGGAGAGTCTTTGAGGAATGTTGTGAAAAGCAGAGGAAGGTTTTTAGGACAATTCTGAGATTATAAATAAATTGCAAGAAAATATTAAGGAAATTTTACAGAAGCTTCTAGGAATATTTAGGGTAGCTTTAAGGAGAATTTAATTTTAGAAAGATGCAATGAATATTTTAAGGAAATTGAAGGCTACTTCTGGAGACTTGAAAAAATCTAAGGAAACTTTGTTAGGTGAATTCATGACAATTTAATAAATGTTTAACTACTTTTTAACTACTAGAGTATTATCTGGAAAACCCAAATAGTCTAAGGGGATTTCATGAAATTTCTGAGAAACGAGTACCAAGTATACTAAGAGATCTAAGAAATTTAATACAATTCTAGATAATTCATCAACAAAGTCAAATTTAAAAAATCTGGAGGATCTATAAAATCTACTCAGAAATTCAAAAAAAATATAAAGCGAAATCAGACAAACAAAGTTTAGAATATACGTGTAAGTTTGTAGAGATTCTCGAAGAAATTCTGAGATGTTTAATCATTAATTTAAAAGTTAAAGTAAAGATCGTGTATATTGCATACAAGTAGCGTACTCATAGAATAATGCACGAAACGCAGTGCAGCTGAAGTTGTAAAGTAGTTTCGAAGTTCGCGATTGAGGTATAATAGAATAGAAAGGAAGTTACGATGTTCGTAATTGATAATTAGTTATATGTTATCGTTCGCAGAAATAGCTGTGCCCGATTTAGATGGATTGACGCTAAAGACGGCTAAATGGAAAATTGGCTTACCGACCTAAGAAGAACGGAATTAATGAGGCGAGCATCTCGTAGCTGCACTCAACTGGTTTAACACTCTTCTTCTGCACGGAGATCCTTTTATATCACCGATCTACTCTTCGCGACCTCGACATGTAATTTAATTAAGCCGTCCCACCACCGTCGTACAGAGTCTAATTATTATTCGAGATCATAGGTCACCGAGGATCTTTGAGAAACAGAGGACGATTCGCCTTATGCGTTTTCCGTCATCTGTGGATCGCATCCCCTATTTGTGTGCGGTGTAATGAATAGTCGAACTATTGGGGATGCTTTGATTTGACAGGTAAAGAAGATGTTTTTTAACATAGAAGTTTTATGTAGTGGAAGATTGACGTTGAAAGAAATAATTTGAAATTTGGAGGTTTGGAGATTTGGAATTTTGGAACTGAGATTTCAGAGTTGGAAATTTTGGGATTAGGGGAGTCCCAGGTTTGGGGATCTGAGGATTTCAAGATTTAAGGGTTTAGGTATTTTAAGGTGATTTTGGAATTGATGCATTTTGGAATTTTGAGTGAGATTTTGGAATTTAGGGATTTCTGAATTTTGGTACTTCAAGGTTTGAAGATTTTTTAAAATCTAAAGATTTGGATATTTTGGGATATGCAAATTTAGGAATTGTGAAACTACTTTTTAGTCATTTTTAAATTTTTAGTAGTTGAAGAATTTTTCAGTAATTTTTTATTAATTTAAAAATTTAATTAAAAAATTTTTAGTAATTTTAAAACTCAGAAATAAAAAATTTTTAACTTCGAGATTTTTGGTACTTTAAAGATTTGGCTATTAGATTTTTTGAACATCAATAATTTGATATTGATTACTGTTAGAAATAATACAGTGATGTTCTATTTGCTGCAATACCGACTGTCAGTAAGGTAGAATTTCTCAGAATGAGTTTATCATCGGAGATAAATTGTCTACAATGAGATTTACATTATCGATTTTTATGAGAATCAAGATTTGAAGAATTTGAATATCTGAAAGGTTAGGAATTTAGAACTTACGAATTTCAGATGTTTTGGTTACTATTGAATTTCGAGATTTTTGAGTTAAATTCTCAAATCTTAAAATCTAAAAATCCAAATTCACAATTTCTTAACTCTTTCGCTTCGAGCGCCGGATATATCCGGCATCCACATGATGTGTATACAAGTACCATCTGTGGTCAATGACAAATTCTTCGTTATCGGCAGAACACTACTAATTTCTAAATATTAGTATACTAACTAATTTGTGTTATATTATTAATAATATTAAACGTTCAATTTTAAAGTCTTGTAAATATGTAAATAGCTAAGAATTTGTCAACTGTAATTAGTCTAAAGTAACTCTTTAAGTAAGTAAGTCTTTAAAGTAACTAATATAATTTTGTTTAACTGTTTTCATATTAAAATGTGAGGAATACATGCTATATTAAAGCAACAATTATTTTATTAATCATAGTAATTTATACAAACACCACGCGCGCTGTGCACATTTCTGGCGCGTGCTTCCGTACGGTGACGACACTTCGGCGGACCGGGCTGCCGAAGCGAAAGGGTTAAATCGTAAAATCTTGAAATTCTCAAATCTTCCGATTTCCAAATTCCCAGAGTCCCAAATTTCTATACTCCTAAATCCCCACATCCCCAAATTCCCAAAATTCCCAAATACCCAAATACCCAATTCCTTAATTTCCTGATTTCTTAATTCCCTAATTCCCTAATTCCCTAATTCCCTAATTCCTAAGTTCTCAATTAAAAAATTCCCCAATTCCACAATTTATTCCCAAGTTTCCAAATCCCAAAATTGTCAAATTCCCAAATCCCCAAATCACTAAATCCCTAAATCTCCAAATCTTCAAATGTCTAAATTCCCAAATTCCTAAATCCTTAAATCTCCAAATCCTTAAATCCCCAAATTCCCCAAATCTCTAAATTCTTCAATTCCCAAATCCCCAATTCCTCAATTCCCCAATTCCCCAATTCCCCAATTCCCTAATACTCCAATTCCCTAATTCCCAAAATTTCCCAATCCCCAAATTCTCGAATCCCCAAATTCCCAAAATTCCCAAATACCCAAATACCCAATTCCCTAATTTCCTAATTTCCTAATTCCCTAATTCCCTAATTCCCTAATTCCCTAATTCCCTAATTCCTAAGTTCTCAATTCAAAAATTCCCCAATTCCACAATTTCCCAATTCCCAAGTTTCCAAATCCCAAAATTGTCAAATTCCCAAATCTCCAAATCACTAAATCCCTAAATCCCTAAATCCCTAAATCTCCAAATCACTAAATCCCTAAATCTCCAAATCTTCAAATGTCTAAATCCCCAAATCCCTAAATCCCTAAATCTCCAAATCCCTAAATCCCCAAATTCCCCAAATCTCTAAATTCTTCAATTCCCAAATCCCCAATTCCTCAATTCCCCAATTCCCCAATTCCCCAATTCCCCAATTCCCCAATTCCCCAATTCCCCAATTCCCCAATTCCTCAATTCCCCAATTCCCTAATTCCCCAATTCTCCAATTCCCAAGTTTCCAATTCAAAAATTTCCCAATCCCCAAATCCCAAAATTGCCAAATTAACAAATCCCCAAATCACCAAACCCCTAAATCTCCAAATCTCCAAATCCCCAAATCACCAAATGCCTAAATCCCCAAATCCCTAAATCCCCAAATTCCCCAAATCTCTAAATTCTTCAATTCCCAAATCCCCAATTCCTCAATTCCCCAATTCCCCAATTCCCCAATTCCCCAATTCCCCAATTCCCCAATTCCCCAATTCCCCAATTCCCCAATTCCCCAATTCCCCAATTCCCCAATTCCCCAATTCCCCAATTCCCCAATTCTCTAATACTCCAATTCCCTAATTCCCCAATTCTCCAATTCCTAAGTTCTCAATTCCAAAATTTCCCAATCCCCAAATCCCAAAATTGCCAAATTAACAAATCC